CAACTGTAACTCCAGTCCCAGGGGATCTGACAGCCTCTTCTGATCTCCACAGGATTGCATGACATGGGTGCACTTACCTACGTGCAGTCAATACACACATACACATAAAATAAAAATAATGAATAAAATATTTTTTTAAAAATTTTTGGTTAGTTGATAATGGCACTATAGGCATCTGATTTTAAGATACAGCAGAAAGACTGAGAGGTGAAATGACAAGTCACCAGAGATCTGATTTAAAACATATAACAGGCTTGTGAGATTGCTCAGCGGGTAAAGGCACTTGCTGCAGGACTGAGACCTGAGTTTGATTCCCAGGACTCATAAGTGGAAGGAGAGGACTGATTCTCACAGTTGTCCTCTGACCTCCACATATGTGCCATCACACACGAGCACATGTGTACACACATGCCCGCACACACATACACTAATTTTTTTTTAATGTAATATAGTAACAGAAAAAAGGCAAGGAGTGGAATAAAGCCGAGAAAATGGGAATGTCTCTTCCACAAGGAGCCTAATTTATATTTTCTTTAGCATTAAGTATGTTTGGAAAACTTTCATAATAAAAGCCTGTTTTGAAGAAAATGAACATTGTTTGTTGGGGGAGGGGGTGGACAGAGAAAATAATTACCTCAGAAGGAATAGGTCTGTGACTTCTGGGATTCCAGGATAAAATGGCTTACCTTCTGGCAATCCTCTGGAAAGTGGTTTGAAATAATTCTTCCATAATATGCTGCTGTTCCCGACAAAGAATATCTGTCATCAACTGAAACAACATAGGGCTTTGGGACAATTCCAATGCATCTAGAAACTGAAAACACAAAACAAGAGAAATCCATTATCAGCATCATCAAAATTTTGTTGTTTTATTTATTTATTTTTATTAGTTGGTTTTTGTAGCTCTGATTTTTAAATTTTTTTGTGTGTTTGGTTAGTTTTTGTTTTGAGACAGTCTCTTGTAGCCAGGTTGGCCTCTAAGTCACTCTGTAATTGATTATGAACATCTGATCTTCATCCCTCTACCTCTTAAGTGCTGGAATTATAGATGTGTGCCATCATGCATAACCCAGTAGCTCCAATTTTTAAAATAAAGAAAAATGACTGGCAAGCTGGTTCATCAGGTAAAGGTGTTTGCTGTCAGACTAGAAAGTCTGAGCTTAATCCCCAAGATCCACATGGAAGAAAGAAAGAACTAACTCCCACAAGCTGTTTTCTGAACTTCACATGCATGCCATGGCACTCAAGAACGTGCAGGTGTGTGTATACACGCATACACATACACACAAATACATATAATAAAAAATTATATTTTTTAAAAAATTATTTTTATTTTATGTGTATGAGTGCATTGTCTGCATGCATGTAAGTGCACCCCAGTCATGCAATGCCCATGGAGATAAGAAGTAGGCATTGGATCCCAGGAACTGGAGTTATGGATGGTTGTTAGCTGCCAAGTATGTGCTAGGAACCAAACCCAGGTTCTTTACAAGAGCAGGCAGTGCTCTTAACCTCTGAGCCATCTCAAATATAACAATTTCACACAGAATTTTCAAATGCTACAAACTGTGATTTTTTTTCACAAGTAGTGAATGCCTGTTAGTATTCATTAAATTCTTCAGTTTTGATTCCTCTTATGTTTTAGAAACAATTTTCATCTCTTTGCCCAGGATCTGAGATGCCATGGTGATGTGCCTTCACCAGGGTCTTCTTCCCTCCCCAGTCCAGTCTCCTCAGGAGACTTCTGTCGTCCCCCTTCCATTCTCCAGACAAAGCAGACAGATGTTCCAGGCTATTGTCCTCACATCTCTACTATACTCTGCCTTCTCTAACCCAATGTCAATTTGTTCTACATGTAGATTCTAGAAGATATCTTCAATTTTATCTTCAGAAGGGAACAAGACAGTTCTCACTTAAAATTAGTTTTTACATATTTAATTTCCACAATCTCTTTTTGCCCCACAGTCTCTTATTTGTCCTATTTCATGGATATGATGTACTGTAACCCTTGAAGCTGTTTTGCAGTTTTGTCGAGTGATTACCTAGACCTTGACAGTGTTACCACTGAGCTCCTATTTCCTATTGGTTTGCATCTTTCATCAAAGAGATAGAAATGGAGGGAGAACTCCCAAACTCTTCTATGAAGCCAATATTACTCTAATACCCAAACCAGGTAGAGACACAACAAAAAGAAAACTATAGACCCATATCCTTAATGAATACAGATGCAAAAGTTCTCAACAAAATGCTTCCAAACTGCATATAGACATACATCAAAAAGATCATCCACCATGATCAAGTCAGCTTTATTACAGAGATGCAGGGATAGTCCAATAAACATAAGTCAATAAATGTAATAAATCATAAAAGAACTTAAAAGACAAAAATCACATGGTCATCTCAATACATGCAGAAAAGGCCTTTGACAAAATCCAACATTCATTCATGTTAAAACTCCTAGAGGTAATTGGACTGGGGGGCACATACCTCAACACAATTAGAGCTATATACAACAAGCCCACAGCCAACATCATCCTAAATGGAGAAAAACTGGAAGCATTCCCATTAAAGTCAGGAACCAGACAAGGCTTCCTATCTCTATCCTTTCAACATAGGGCTTGAAACTTCTGCTAGAGAAGTAAGACAAAAGAAGGAAATTAAAGGTGTACTAATTGGAAAAGAAGAGGCCAAATTATTATTTTTAAATGATATTATACATAAAAGATCCTCAAAATTCCACCAGAAAACTCCTAGAAATGATGATGAACACATTCAGCAAAATGGCAGGTTACAAAATCAACTTACAGAAATCAGTAGCTTTTCTATATACCAATAACAAGCAACTGGAGAAAGATTTCATAGAAACCCTCCCATTCACAATAACTAAAATACACACACACACACACACACACACACACACTCATGCACACACACACACAAATATCTAGGAATAAACCTGACCAAAGACATTAAAGATCTCTACAATCAAAATTTTAAATCTTTGAAGAAAGGGATTGAGGAAGACATCAAGAGATGGAAAGACCTCCCATGGTCATAGATTAGTTGAATTAATATTGTAAAAATGCCAGGCTTTGTGGCATATGCCTTTGATCCCAGCACTTGGGAGGCAGAGGCAGGCAGATCTCTGTGAGTTCAAGGACAGCCTGGTCTACATAGTAGAGTTCCAGGACAGCTAGGGCTATGGACAACCCTATCGCAAAAAGACCAAAAAAAAAAAAAAAGTGAAAATGACCATTCCACTAAAAGTAATCTATAGATTGAATGCAATCCCAATCAAAATCCCCATGACATCTTTTTTTAATTTAAAAAATTTTTATTTTATGTGTATGAGCATATTGCCTACATGTAGGTAAGTGCACCCCTGTCGTGCAAGGCCCACGGAGGACAGAAGAGGTCATC